ACCGGCCAGGGAGATCCTGGAGACAGGGAATGCTACCGGCAAGGAAGACGTGGATGGAGGAGCACGGAACAGGAGGCTGGGAGATGAAGCGCAGTGACACCTGCAGAGACACTCATTACTGAAACCAACAACACGGGATTGGCAGCATTCCTGGGTCTGAAGATAACGTCTCATTTCAGAATTAGGACATGGCACATGGAGAAAGAAAAGCCCATCACGGCAGTGCTCTCCTTTAAAGGGCAGTGACTGTAACCCGGGGTGGAAGCACATTTTATAGAAAACGTCTCTACTCCAAGTGGATCCGATAATTACTGGTATTTTATAAAGCAAGGGCTGACACAGGGCGAACGCCACTCTTAGCAGAAGATGAGGCTGCGCACACGGTGTGAGCCAGCCAGAGCTGGGCCACCTTACAGGCGGTCAGGTCCTATCACTGTAAGACTGTGCAAGTTAACACGATCATTCCGCACTGCTGGGGTCTCTGTCTGTAAAAAGTGCAAGGAGACACTAATTCTCAGGAGGGGATGAATTTACACGAACCACAGCGGCCCCAAATCACATATCCACTGAATGTAAATGAATTCAACTACACTCTTTTATGCTGAAAACACCATGAACGATATTTTGTGTTTGTGCCCACACACGATACAAACATATTACTGCACAGGTTTATACAGCACGTTTGCTACAATTTGAGGGATTTAAGGGGAATTATGTTTCCAACATCCGTTTGAAATTCAGTAACATAACCTACCTCGTTACACAGACCACAAACCATAGCCGTTCAAAATCCAAACCAGTACAGAGCGCCAGATAAACGTGTAGCCTCTTTGTAAACTTTTGTTTAATATGTAACATATCCACAAGAAAGAAACCTAAATGAGGACAAGGTACCTGTTTTTAGTGCTTTAACAACACCTAGAAAAGCACCTGGCACTCAATAATGCTTCAGGCACAAAGCCGATGAGAACAGACACCAAGTGAATGAGTGAACCCACGTACAGTGTCACTGTTCCACCTGCCTGTCTCTCTCGGCAGATTATAAGCATCTCCTCATCTTTCAGTGTCCCCAGGTGCTTAGCTCGGTAAAACCAAATGAAGAAAGCGGGCAGAGATAATATTTTCTGAGCTCGGTTTAAAGAGTGAAGACTTCCAGGCTCCGAAAGACATTCCAAACCCCAATCTGAGGATCCTGCAGCTCCCCACCCCTCAGGAACTCCCCAGGGGCTGGCTGTGGGGACTGTGTAATGAGGCCCCCAGGTCCTGCAGAGTCTTGCTCACTGCTCCCTCCTCCTCTGTCCATGTGCCTCCTCCTCCTTCTTTCTGTTCAGCCACCTGGCCTTTGTCAGGCGCTAAGGTGTGTGCTCCCTTCTCACACGTGGGTTCCTCTGCCCTGAACATCTATCTCCACACCACTCTCTGCCCGGAGAAATTACCATGTGCGTTTCAGCCCAGTGTTCCCACAGCAAGGAAGCCTCCCAGGCTTCTTCCTCACTGTGGGCTCTGTCCTTGGGACTCACTGTGGTAACTTTACACTTATTTGGGTGATCATCTGGTTAATACCCATCTCTTCCCTTAGACTGTAAGCTCCACGGGGCAGGGAGCGCGTCTTGACATCCTGATTTTATTACAGTGTGAATCCTCTGGGGCCTAGAATGAGGCCTACACACCTAGATGTAGCAATAAATATTTCTTCAGTCACTGAAAAGGCAAGGTCGACCAGAGTCACAATCTATTTTCAGGGAACGCCCAGAGGAAGAGCTAGGATGGTAGACAGTGAGGAAGTGAGGTGGGGACAGTGAGGTAGCAGGTAGACAAGATGGGAAAGAGGGCCAGAAGCGGGGAGCAGCAGGGCCCCTGACAGCTAAGAGAAGGTACAGAAGAGACAAGAGACCTGGCAGCAACTCGGGGATATCCTGGGTCAGGGCACCCTACACAGCTGAACAGATTCTGGCCAAAACGGAGGCAGACAAGGGGAGGGGGACTGAAGCACTAAGAAAGGAAGGCAGTCTACGGAAGGGCACGCCTGACAGGGCACGCCTGACAGGACGCTGTACTAACTCCTGACAGACCAGAGCTGAGACATACGCTAACGCAATGGCGGGCTGAGCATCACGTCACAGACAGCTAGTGACACCCTTCAAAGAACACATGGAGAGCACACACGTTTGAAAACGCAAACGGGAGAAAAACGAGGTTCCACACAAAGTCAGTTCAGCAGTAAGGCTCAGGAAGAACATGGCACAAGCTCCTTGCAGACGCTCAGTTGAAAAACCTTTTGGTTCACGACCACGCTTTATGGATGATTAACAAAGAGCATTCTGGGTAAAGAAAGCCTCCTGCACTGACTACAAGTCACCACGATGGTGACAAAGCCAGAGGGGCAGGAAGGCAGCAGGAGAGGGAGGCCAGCCGCGAACACGCGTGGAGGGAGGCCCGCTGTGAGCACGCGTGGAGGGTGGCCAGCCGCGAGCACGCGTGGAAGGAGGCCAGCCGCGAGCACGCCTAAGTAGAGGGCGGCCAGCCACGAGCACGCGTGGAGGGTGGCCAGCCGCGAGCACGCCTAAGTAGAGGGAGGCCAGCCGTGAGCACGCGTGGAGGGTGGCCAGCCACGAGCACGCGTGGAGGGAGGCCCG